ACAAATTCTTAGAAAAGCACAACTTTCCGAGACTGAAACAGGAAGAAATAGAAAATTTAAACAGACCAATCACAAGCACTGAAATTGAAACTGTGATTAAAAATCTTCCAACAAACAAAAGCCCAGCACCTGATGGCTTCACAGGCGAATTCTATCAAACATTTAGAGAAGAGCTAACACCTATCCTTCTCAAACTCTTCCAAAATATAGCAGAGGGAGGAACACTCCCAAGCTCATTCTATGAGGCCACCAACACCCTGATACCAAAACCAGATAAAGACGCCACAAAAAAAGAAAACTACAGGTCAATATCACTGATGAACATAGATGCAAAAATCCTCAACAAAATACTAGCAAACAGAATCCAACAGCACATTAAAAGGATCACACACCATGATCAAGTAGGGTTTATCCCAGAATGCAAGGATTCTTCAATATACTTAAATCAATCAATATGATAAACCATATTAACACACTGAAGGAAAAAACCCGTATCATCATCTCAATAGATGCAGAAAAAGCTTTTGACAAAATTCAACACATATTTATGATAAAACTCTCTAGAAAGTAGGCATAGAGGGAACTTTCAGTGGTGAAAAACTGAAACCATTTCCACTAAGATCAGGAAAAGACAAGGTTGTCCACTCTCACCAATATTATTCAACATAGCTTTGGAAGTTTTAGTCACAGCAATCAGAGAAGAAAAAGAAATAAAAGGAATCCAAACTGGAAAAGAAGAAGAAAACTGTCACTGTTTGCAGATGACATGATACTATACATAGAGAATCCTAAAAATACTACCAGAAAGCTACTAGAGCTAATCAATGAATTTGGTAAAGTAGCAGGATACAAAATTAATGCACAGAAATCTCTTGAATTCCTATACACTAATGATGCAAAATCTGAAAGAAAAGTTAAGGAAACACTCCCATTTACCAATGCAACAAAAAGAATAAAATACCTAGGAATAAACCTACCAAAGAAGACAAAAGACCTGTATGCAGAAAACTATAAGACACTGATGAAAGAAATCAAAGATGATAGCAACAGATGGAGAGATATACCATGTTCTTGGATTGGAAGAATCAATATTGTGAAAATGACTATACTACCCAAAGCAATCTACAGATTCAATGCAATCCCTATCAAATTACCAATGGCATTTTTTATGGAACTAGAACAAATCATCTTAAAATTTGTATGGAGACACAAAAGATCCTGAATAGCCAAAGCAGTCTTGAGGGAAAAAAACGGAGCTGGAGGAATCAGGCTCCATGACTTCAGACTATACTACAAAGCTACAGTAATCAAGACAGTATGGTACTGGCACAAAAACAGAAATATAGATCAATGCAACAGGATAGAAAGCCCAGAGATAAACCCACGCACACATGGTCACCTTATTTTTGATAAAGGAGGCAAGAATATACAATGGAGAAAAGACAGCCTCTTCAATAAGTGGTGCTGGGAAAACTGGGCAGCTACATGTAAAAGAATGAAATTAGAACACTCCCTAACACCATACACAAAAATAAACTCAAAATGGATTAAAGACCTAAATGTAAGGCCAGACACTATAGAACTCTTAGAGAAAAACATAGGCAGAACACTCAATTACATAAATCACAGCAAGATCCTTTCTGACCCACCTCCTAGAAAAATGGAAATAAAAACAAAAATAAACAAATGGGACCTAATGAAGCTTCAAAGCTTTTGCACAGCAAAAGAAACCATAACCAAGACAAAAAGACAACCCTAAGAATGGGAGAAAATAGTTGCAAATGAAGCAACTGACAAAGGATTAATCTGTAAAATATATAAGCAGCTCATGCAGCTCAGTATCAAAAAACAAACAACCCAATCCAAAAATGGGCAGAAGACCTAAATAGACATTTCTCCAAAGAAGATATACAGATTGGCAACAAACACATGAAAGGATGCTCAACATCACTAATCATTAGAGAAATGCAAATCAAAACTACAATGAGGTATCACCTCACACCGGTCAGAATGGCCATCATCAAAAAATCTACAAACAATAAATGCTGGAGAGGGTGTGGAGAAAAGGAAACCCTCTTGCACTGCTGGTGGGAATGTAAATTGATACAGCCACTATGGAGAGCAGTACGGAGGTTCCTCAAAAAACTAAAAACAGAACTACCATATGACCCAGCAATCCCACTACTGGGCATATACCCTGAGAAAACCATAAGTCAAAAAGAGTCATGTACCACAATGTTCACTGCAGCTCTATTTACAATAGCCAGGACATGGAAGCAACCTAAGCGTCCATCGACAGATGAATGGATAAAGAAGATGTGGCACATATATATAATAGAATATTACTCAGCCATAAAAAGAAATGAAATTGAGTTATTTGTAGTGAGGTGGATGGACCTAGAGTCTGTCATACAGAGTGAAGTAAGTCAGAAAGAGAAAAACAAATACCGTATGCTAACACATATATGTGGAAACTTAAAAAAAAAAAAGTTTCTGAAGAACTTAGCTGCAGGACAGGAATATAGACACAGACGTAGAGAATGGACTTGAGGACACAGGGGGGTAAAAGGGTAAGCTGGGACAAAGTGAGAGAGCGGCATTGACATATATACACTACCAAATGTAAAATAGATAGCTAGTGGGAAGCAGCCGCATAGCACAGGGAGATCAGCTTGGTGCTTTGTGTCCACCTAGAGGAGTGGGATAGGTAGGGTGGCAGGGAGACGCAAGAGGGAGGAGATATGGGGATGTATGTATATGTATAGCTGATTCACTTTGTTATACAGCAGAAACTAACACACCATTGTAAATCAATTATACTCCAATAAAGATGTTCAAAAAAAAATTAGGGGATTTTTCCCTCTAAAATAGCTCTTATTCCTTAACTGATTCCTTGGGTTTTTTTCCTTCCCATTCCATTGAGATATAATTGACATATAGCCACTGTATAAGTTTTAGGTGTACAGGATAACGACTTGACATACCTACACTGTGATATGATTATCAAAGTTGAGTTTAGTTAAACTAACATCTATCACCTCATAGATACCAGAAAAAAAAACATTTTTCCTCATAATGAGAACTTTTAGGATCTACTCTCTTAGCAGCAGCTTTCAAATATACAATATAGCGATGTTAACTGTAGTCACCATGCTGTACTTTACATCCTCAGTACTTAGTTATAGCCAGAAGTTCATACTTTTTGACTCTCTTCATCCAATTCCCCTTCCCACTAATTCCTTGTAACAGCATATTTTAGCTCTCTCTTACATTTAAAAAAGAAATGCTGTTTTCTCCTTGAATTCATTTCATTCAATTCAAATTTCATATTCTCATTACGTAATTATGAGCAACAGATATAAAAAGTAAAGATGCCATTTGATTTCTTCTCGCTACTTACAATAAAATGTTAGAAGAGAGGTGACCAAAGAAGCAACTGATAATATAAAGGAGCCAAGATTATTTACTTGAAAAATTAAACTGTTTCTCATTCCTAGTCTCCCTAGATGGAACATTACATATTAAAATTAAGAAATGGTTTGAGGGCAAAGATCAAGCACAGGTGCTGTCAGGAAAACAGTCTTAAGATGAAGCCACAGGTGTAGCTTCGTGAAGACAGGAAAATTCAAGGTGGTGCTGTCTCACTGAACCTTTCAAAAAGATCAAAAACTCTAAAAACAAAGGGATAGCCCATAGTGGCCTTACAGGGAACCTAAGGCAGTAAAAGGCTTTTTGTGAAGATATTTGCGGATATGCTTTTATCTAATAGAGTGGATTAGGCTCAGTAGTTGTGGCGCACGGGCTTAGTTGCTCCGCGGCATGTGGGATCTTCCCGGACCAGGGCTCGAACCCATGTCCCCTGCACTGGCAGGCAGATTCTTAACCACTGTGCCACCAGGGAAATCCCTCTAGTTGCTTTATTCAAGTTTAACGAAGTCAGGGGGAAATTTTCTTCCATGATCTTTTTTAAAAAAAATACTGAAAGCAGTCACTTTTTATTAACTGACCAGATTACAAAAATAATCATGGTAGACATCTTAGTTCATCCTTCTAATAGACGTGCTGATCTGGTCTACCCTATTGCCAACATCTCTACCTTCTAAAAAGTGGGTGGTCTTTTTCTTCACTCCACCTCATGAAGATAATTTGAAGGGCCATAGGAAGGCGTTTGCTTCTTTGAAGCATTTATCAACACTACAGATCCCGTATATCAGATCCTCCATGCAGATGACGCCATATTTACCAAGAAATCAATCAATCAATGTGTTATCTGTCAGGGCAATTTGCTTCTTTTTTTTTTTTTTTTTTGTACGGGGGCCTCTCACTGTTGTGGCCTCTCCCGTTGCGGAGCACAGGCTCTGGACGCACAGGCTCAGCGGCCATGGCTCACGGGCCCAGCCACTCCACGGCATGTGGGATCCTCCCAGACCAGGGCACGAACCCATGCCCCCTGCATCGGCAGGTGGACTCTCAACCACTGTGCCACCAGGGAAGCCCGGCAATTTGCTTCTTATTGTTTTGCCATAACTATGCTTGTAGATCAGTTCACTTCCTGACCTCAGGTTTGGGTACCCCCATGCAATACATGGCTCCACAATCCCCAGCATGTTAACTGAAGTCCATCATCTTTCACAGTTACCATCACAAGTGACTAAAATAAAATTACATAATCTCACTTTACCCTAACTTCACTTATTCCCTACTTATTCTTTAGGGAGTAGATTATAATCTAGTACTGAAGATGACATCCATCTCCAAGGGATTCATATGTCTTTCCTGAATTACATAAGTGGTTTTGACAGTGCCCAAGTGTTTATTTATTAATAAAGAGAGGGGAAAAAACACACATTTCAAATAAAGCCCCGGAGGTCACAATAATTGCCAGGACAAAGCAAGTCAGTAATCCAACTGAGAAAAGAACCCATGTCTTTGATGTTATCAATGGCACTTTCAGTGACAGAGTCTCTTTAACATGAAGAAACTATTGAGTCTATAAATACCTCTTCTGGAGCACTTGTGTTAAATGGGTCATGACTGGGAGATCCCATTACCGGCGTAGATGACAGGTTTTTCTCCAGATCGCTAAAGCCCTGTGCGTCCAGCAAAGTGGAGAAGGAACTGGAAGGGAGCAGGTCTTCAAAGTCGCCATCTTGGCCTAAGCAACGACAAAGCAGAAAGTGGACACCAGCAGCTTTTCATTTTTTACTTTTGGAGGAAGATAAGAATCCCAATTATCTTGAATACAAAAAAGTTTCTGATCCCTAAGAATCAAAGAGTCAACTCCTGGCATCACTTGAGGAACAACAACGTGGGACCTAGGAAACAGCATCTTAAACTGTGAGCACCTAAGGCCCAGGGACTCTTGGGCCACATGAGTATCCAGTAGTGGTATTAGCAGAGGTATTAATTACTAGTGCTTTAATAGACACAATCATAGACTCACAGCATTGATGTTAAAAGTTAACTTAGTCCAACAACCCTCCTGTATTTCTGTGTCAACATTTGGGGCTTCAGAAATTTCAGTTCAGAAATAACCCAGCTGAGGAATACCAGTGGTACAACAAAACTGATTCTGAACAGCAACAAAGTCACCATTTAGACAACTCCATTTTCATCGCTACTGTGCTCTTGAAAAAACGTAGAAAGGAAAAAAGGAAAAGAAGAGAAAATAGATGACCCTTTGATCCCTCTTAAGAGGATCCTTTTTTGCCATTCATTTCATTTCAAAGTAGAAAGAATGGCCTAATGGGGAGAAGGAACCACAGAACCAGCAAACCAGCAACTTTGAGAATTTTTTTACATCTCTAGCAATGAAAAGGATTAAGTGCTGAACAACAGTGCCAGATATTCTTTTTTTACAAACAGAATGGTCCTTCCAACTATTCTCTGAATAATACAAAATGGCAAATCATATACTTGTTTAAAGATACTAACTAGACATAGCTTCTTAATTTAGGTTTTCATTAGATTTTTACTCTAATTTTATTAGAATTTAGGTATTCTTAAAATTCCCTGAGGATTATCTAAATAAATATAAATCCTAGTGAGAAATCACTGTTTACATAACTCTTCAACAGAACAGGACATAATTTTCAATGGTTTATAAACATCTATCCTGCTGTACATGGTTTAAAACTATCTCTTTTAATTATATATTTATATGCATAGAAAAAAAAGGCCAGAAAGAATTACATGAAAATGCCAGCAATGATCATGCCAGTGCAATTTTGACTGATGTTTTACCCTTTTTATCTGTTTTCCAAGTGTCTTACAATGTAGTCTAATTACAGAAATCAATCTGCCCTTCCTTGATTTTTAAATATTAGAATTATAGTGTTGAGATTCTATAAAATCAAACAATGTTTTAAGTGCTATGACTATGTAAAAATTAATTACTTGAGAATTTGCAATATTCCTTAGAAGAGAGACTCCTGTGAAGGTTTAGAAAATGGTGAGTGGTAAGAATTGTCATAAGTCTACACTGATAATTAGAGGTTCATTTGCTCATTCAGATATTTAAAAAGTCTTAATAATAGGCCTTCTGGACAAAAAGATGAATATCCATTTTTTTCAAAGATCCTGGTCTAAAGCAGCATTTTCTTTCTTTGTGAACACACCAAGATTAAAATTTCAAAATCCGAGTCTCCCCTGAGTACCTTCCAAAAGGCTTATTTATTTCCAGCACTTACTTTTTTTTTTTTAATAGTTACTGATATGTGTAATTCTAGGTAATTTCTTTTTTTTTTTAAAACTCTTTATTGGAGTATAATTGCTTTAGAATGGTGTGTTAGTTTCTGCTTTATAACAAAGTGAATCAGTTATACATATACATATATCCCCATATCTCTTCCCTCTTGCATCTCCCTCCCTCCCACCCACCCTCCCTACCCTATCCCACCCCTCTAGGTGGTCACAAAGCACTGAGCTGATCTCCCTGTGCTATGTGGCTGCTTCCTACTATCTATGTATTTCACATTTGGTAGGCAGCACTTACTTTCAAAGCAAATAAGCCCAACTAGGCAGTGCTAATGAACAAGAGAACTTTCAAGGTTCTTTACATTTTTGTGTGTTTTGAATGACCCCCAAGTCTTTGCCACATTTGTGGATGGCCAACTGGCCCATCAGCAGATAAAATAATAATAAATACAACAAAATGCCTACTACCTTTACCTAGATGTTTTACAGATTTTTTTTTTTTTTTGCAGTACGCGGGCCTCCTCTCACTGTTGTGGCCTCTCCCGTTGCGGAGCACAGGCTCCGGACGCGCAGGCTCAGCGGCCATGGCTCACGGGCCCAGCCGCTCCACGGCACGTGGGATCTTCCCGGACCAGGGCACGAACCCGTGTCTTCTGCATCGGCAGGCGGGCTCTCAACCACTGCGCCACCAGGGAAGCCCCAGATTTTTAAAAAACACATTCAAAGCTGAACACAATCCTCCTCAACCACTTCCATGTTCCTTCTCTAGGCTTTCCCCTCTTGGTAAATGGAACCATCATCTGCTAGTTGCTTTAGTCAGAAATGTTGATCTTTCTTGATGCCTTCTTCTTCTACACTCCCTCATCTAATTCATCACACTATCGAGTTGATTCTAACACCAAAATACATTTCCAATCAGCACCATCAGATCTTCCCACTGCAATACTGCAAGGGCCTCTTGATTGACTTCCCTTCCTTCCAACACTGCTGGAATAGTCCCAGCGGTCCATAGTCCACGATGGTCCATTTGTCACAAAGATCATGCGGTTGACTTGTTCAGACCATTCAGTGGATCCCTCTGGGCTCGAGTAAGAGCTGAACTCCTCACTTTGCATGACCCGGCCGTGCTCCCCTCTATTATCTCATCTTGTCTCACTCTCCCCGCTGCTCACGACCTTCTAGGTACACTGGTCTCCTTTTGTTTCTTAATAAACACACCAAGGTCTTCTTTCCCCGAGGCTCTTGCAGGTGCTGTCCTTCTTTCTCTCTGCAGTGTTACCTAATCAACTCCGTGGAGAGGCTCTCTCTGGGCAACCAATCAACAGTGTACTCATCAGCCGACACACTTTCTGGCAGAGAACAGATGCCTAATAACATCACTGAATGAATGAAATGAGCCACCTAACTTGAAATAATGGATATACTTCATGAAAGAAATTGAGGCCAAATGTAAAAAAGTTCATAGCCACTTAAAAATCAAGTAAAGCAGAAAAGTCTTTAGAGCTACACTACCTTTTTTACCTTGGGCCAGTACCACTGTATCTTGCATTTTCTGGTACCTGTTCAGGCACTGTCGAAGATCTTCTATTTTCCGATCCTATTAGTAAAATCAATTATCATCTTTAATATTATGATTTTAGAACAACAAAAGTAATTGTGACACAAAGAATAAGTAGACATGAATTATTTACATTATTCAAAGAATACTTCTAAACTTTAGTAAAACTGGTAATGTTCAGAATATGTTGCCTACATACGTCAGAGACATAGAAAAAGTACCTCTAAATTTAGAGATCCTATCCTTCAGCTGCCATCTTTAAAAAACAAAAACAAAACACGATAATAAGATACAAAACAAAACAACAAAAAAAAAGCAAGAAAAAAATCAACTTCCTTTACTCTCCTAAGTCAGAGCTTGACAGAAATGTCTACACCTGCTATCTTTACCAGCTGCCATTAATCACCATCTGGCTTTTCCCTTCTCCAAACACTCCACCAAAGCTGCTTCAATCAGTCATCAGTGACCTTCTCTTTACTAAAAACAATGGACCCTTTTCATCCTTTTTCTAATTTGACTTCTAGATGGCACTTGATTGACCCCCAGTCTTTCCTTCTTTCACTTTTCTCTCCACTCTTTCTTTTCTTCTGTTTTGATTTGTTAATTCCTTGACCAGATAAACATTCTACTTCCATAACTCCCACTATCTTCCCAACCCTTCAACGCGTTGTCTTTTACCCTCTTCTCTCTTCCCAGGCCCTCAGTGTGGTAAATTATAAAAATGGGCTCCCTAGCTTCCCCGACATGGATTTGGGGCATGGCCATGTGACTTGCTTTGGCCAATGATATATAACAAATGTGGTTCAAAGCAAAGGCTTGAAAAGTATTTGCACGTTGGGGCTTGCCCCCTCTTGCTGCCCTAGGGAACCCTGAGGCCACTACGTGAAGAAGCATAGGCTAGTCTACTGGAGGATGAGAGACCGTTTGAAGAAGAGACAACCCAGCTGGGGTCAACCTAGACCAGTCAATCACCAGACATGTGAGTTACACCATCTTAAACCATCCATCCCCATTCCAGCCACCGGCTAACGGTAGAGATCAGCAAAGCCAGCCCAGACTAGAAGAGCAATCTAGCCCACCTACAAAAGTATGAGAAATAATAAATGTGATTTATCATGGAGCAAAAGCAAACTGACACATGAACTATAGTTTTGTCCCCACCAATCTATATATTTCAACTCTACATTTCTCCTAAAGTTGATGGGGTTCACTCCCCACCAATCTATAATCCTACATTAATCCTAAAATTTAGGTTGATTTTCCAATTTTCTATGAGATATCTCCTTGTAATGTCCCATGAACACATCAAATTGAGTACATCTAAAATTAAGCTCATTATTTGCCTCCGGTATCTCGGTCTCTGCTTGGATTCCCTTAACTCTTTTATGGGCACCATCATTCACCCCACTGCTCAAACCAGAAACTTACTCCCAAATCCAAAGATTTAAAAATCTTGTCGACCTGTGAATTTCTCTAAAATCCCCCTTCCTTCCTTACCACTTCACTGCCATTGCCTTATTTCAGCCCGTCTTCATTTCTCAGCTATTTTAACAGCCTCTTAATTCTTTTCTTCACTCTCCCTCCCTTATTCTTGCTTCCATTCTGTCACTGGAGTTAGCTTTCTAACATGGCAATTTAACTAACTCACTGTCCAAGGTCTAAAGCTGAGAACCCAAATCATTACATCATTAGCCTCACCACAGCACTCTCTCATATACCCAACTCCTCCACCTGTATCTCCTGCTCCAGAACTTTCCCAGCATGCACTGGCTGTTTCAAGCCTTGGTTTTGAGACACGTTTTCACTCATGGATCCTTTGCCCAGAATCCTTCATTTTCCTGGTGAATGACTCTTTGCTCTCCCTCAGAATTTGCCCAAATATGTCCTCTTTGAAGATTTCTTGGAACCACCAAGAAGTTATGTCACTCTCGCTGCTCCTAGAGAAGTTTGAGCATCTAGTAAGCCCTCATTCAACATTGGGAGTTTCATTTGTTATTGTTGCTTTTTGAGGGAGAGAAATTAAAACCGAATGAATTTTAGTGATTTTTTTTTCAAATTAAATCTATGTGGGCAGCTTGCTAATGACTTTTCTTTTTATTTGATGTGGGGAAGACTAGCAAAAAGAAACCTATATATGGGTAGGTGGGTAGGAGAAAGAGTTTATTTCCATTGAACAAAGAACAAAAAGAATAAAAGGCAATAAATAAATATACAAACAGAGTAGGCAAGAAAGAATTAGAGAAAGAAGCTTATGATGAGAGAAAAAGATCAAGATAAAACTCTTTGGCATTTGCTTGGTTTTTATTTCCTTGAAATTACTCTTTTCATGGGAAAATGTCTCCTTGTTCTATTCATTAAAGGACACGAGGGGAGAGCAGTTCTGATGACAGGAGCTGAACCTGCCTGCTGGGTATATGGCTGGCCAGGGAAGCCAAGAAGAAGCATGTTTCCTTAGTAGGGTCCCTGCATCCCTGCTCTTAGCAGGATGAAGTAAGGAGAAGCAACAGCTGGAGGAAAGGCCCTCTTGGAGACCTTGGCATTAGGTGAGCACAGCTAAAACAAAGCCGAGTGCCATCCTTGATTACATGGTGCCTGTGCTTGTTTCCTGGTATCTCACCATCAGGAGAGCAGAGATAATCCCGGATGTGAAAGAGGCCAGGAGTGTGAAGGAAATAACATGTTCCTAGAGAAGAAAATCAACATGATCGTGAAGCTAAAGTTGCCATGGCTACCTCCTTCAGAGTTCACAGGGCGGTCCAGAATTTCCAGGGACCACAGAAAGGATGTACTATGGCCTGTATCCTTTGTCTCATTTGTCACCTGAATTTAAAGAGCTGCTCTGATAACCTGAACATTTTCTAAATTCAGGGCGGTGGGCGGGAGGGGTAGATTCTCAGTGGGGCCAGTGCTGCTGGTCTCCATTCCTGTCTGCGCAGCACAAGTACGTCTATGACCCGCCCCCCGAGAGCAGGCCCACTTGGGCAGGAAGGGAGAATGCTTGCCCCTTAATGTCAGCTGTGTTTAGGCGTTGTTCTTTCAAACTGGGATATCTGATGAGAATGCATGGAATGATCAAAATGATGTGATTACACATCCAAATAAACACTTAAATTTCATCTAGTTACCTTTTCTTCATTTGCTGCCATCAAAGACTCCACAGCCTTTTTCATTTTTTGTACTTCGATATCTGAAATATCACAACATCAAATCAGAAGTCTGTTTAAAGAGATATGAGAACATATGTATATGTATAACTGATTCACTTTGTAATAAAGCAGAAACTAACACACCATTGTAAAGCAATTATACCACAATAAAGATGTTAAAAAAAAAAAAAAAAAGAAGTCTGTTTAGTTAACTTGTGTGACAATAACAAGAAGCTACTGACTTCAGATTGAAATGTTGCAAGGTAAAGATGTTAATAATTTGTTCCACTTTCTTTTATTTTTTTAAAGGCACATTTACCATTCATATTCTCTTTTAGGGAAAACCTGAAAAATGAACACTTTCTAACTCACCTTAATAGTCATCATTCCAGAAAGAAAACAACTACCCTCTCTCAAAGCAAGAACAAAATCCTCATAAGAACATTGAAGATGAAATTTCAGTGCTATAACAATAAAAATACAGAGTTTTCAAAGAAGAAACTTATAAAGCAGGTGAAAGCAATGAATGGTGTATATATGACAAAAGCAGAGAAAATGATGTTCGGTTATAACCAAGATGGAGACACAAATGGTAAGAGCCTGAAGGAACGTGATATTTACACAAGTATCATGCTAAGAAGCTGGCTGTAGGTTCCATACAGAAGGATAACAAGTACTTTGCTTCATCTATAAACTTCATTTCCAGTACTATTTTAAAACGTTTTTAAACAATACTATTTTTAAAGGCCAAAGTAAGTGATCCTCCTTAAAATGTGATATTCAAATACAAAAGCATGTTACTTCAGTAATAAAAAAACAAACATTTTAAATATGGAAAGTCAACCCAAAATGAAATCACAAATTAAAAAAATTGAAACAGAGGAAAAAGTTCAGCTAAAGTTGCCTGCTTTTGAGGACAAAAAAATACTACTGAAGGTAAATTTTAAAACAGTGGTGCATCATTCAGCTCTGATACAATACTTTCAATTAAGGTATACTGTTTAGGAACTGCTTTTCTTCTTTTTAATGGCAAAGTCCCTTAAGAACTTAATGTCTGGAGGAAAGTCCACTAAGGCTTTATCGATTACACTGCATTAACTCTAGTCTCTGTTAGTCAGCCTGGGTACAATTTCTTTTGTAACACAAGAGGATATGTTTATAGAAGCCCTTAATATAGATCTCAGTGAAACAGTGGGCTACAAAACATTGGAAAACAAAAGCAAAGTTCAAAATAATCTTCAACTGTGGTAAACCGTAAAAACAGTAGGTTTTCATAGGAGTATAAACATTATTTTCTCCTCTGACCCTGTATCTCCTGGGCCACAGAGAAAACGCTTCCTCACCTCCACCACTCTGGGTGCTCTGCTATATCCTGCAGAGCAAAAGGGCTGAACCAGGAACAATAAGCAAAACGGTCTTTTACTCCTTGTTTTAATGTTTGTTTATTTGCCCTCTGTTTTGTACACTCTGAAGAAATGGGGAGCTTATTGATGAAGCAATTTTACGTCTTTGGGGAGAGAAATGTTTTAAAAACACATGCAAAGAACAGTCCAAGTAGTACTTTTGGTGAATGTAAAGGCTGATGGAAATACACCAAAAACCTTACTTTTGTCTTTGAGCTTCTTTTTAAAATTTTCATCTGTGCAGGAAAACCCATCGAATTGGAAGTTAGCATACATTACAACAATAAGTAATATTTTAAAAGCACTATTATTTGGTCTCCTTTTACCTAAAATAAAGAGACTCTAACCTCATAAAGACCGAATATTAAGCATTATTTTATGACTTTAGGACTGATACTACAATATAATATGCCCTCTGTGAGGTCAGAAAGAGAACCTTATGTAGTTAATCAGAAGATGTAAATCTGAGTTACTACCTCTGTTACTTCACTTTCTGAACCTTGATTTTCTTGTATTAAAATTGGGCCTTCAGAGTACAAGTGCTTCTTACACTAACTGTGATGAAAAGCCAGCTAATGTTGCATTGGTTGTTGTTTACATTTCCATCACAGTCTGATATGTGACCCTCCTGAATGTGATTAGGACATTGTTTATGTCATATTCATCTCACTGCTCAAGTTCAACAACACTGAAGTGGTCCATCTCCTGTTCAACAAGATGAGTCCACTGATCACGCAGGTAGATGTTACGTCAACATCAGAGTCCACGAAGTTTCTAAGCACTTGCTCTCAGTGCCTGGCTGTGTACTGCTGACAGGTGGTTCACAGACCACTGCTAGTCCTCAGATCCGACTTTGGGTAGCATTACTCTAGCATAGCCAACATAGCCTCTAGCCCACATAGCCTCTATGATTCCATGTTTTTCCTTAGAATCTTGAAAGCATGACCTGTCTGTGAGTGTCCTTGAAGAACATACATTCTACACATGCCAAAATAGAGGGGAAAAACCCATTTCCCTCAATGTTGGATGAATTGAATTTTCTGATGGACAGGGGATTGTGATACCTACAGGTAAATAAAGCCAGGGTATTCTAGAGCCAAGAAGACTTTGGAGGTAATCTAATTCAAGCCCCTCATTGTACAGACAATAATAGATAAAATAGACAAAATAGATAAAGCAATAGATAAAAATGTACCAAATCTACACTAACTGGAATTTGTTCTGTTTTGAATGAGTCAGAAGTTGCTTTTGCCATATCACTTGTTATAACAAAGAAAGGTTAAATTTGACTGAGTGTTGTCAGCTGTTACAGGCATATATATTTCCAAATATAATTTTTTAAAAACCCACATTTCATTCAAGTTATTTTCTAGCGGGTATAACCTACATTATGAAAAATTACAGTCCATATGATGTCCAGGACAAACCTCCTCAATTTATGAAAACAATTTTTTGGATAAATTCATACAGTTTTCCCAAAACAGAATTAACCTATTTTGCTTTCTGGAAGGTTGAGGGCTCAATGCATGATAAGAAATGTTCATTAACTTTCCAAAGATACAGAGCCCTCCCTCTCTCCTCTCAAAAAGGCAGGCAAGGTTCCTAAATGCTTTACTTTATGTTGTCTCAAGTTCAGTTCAGAGGGGAATAATCTTGGGACATAGTTTTGGTTCCTTTTAATTCTTTTTGACACTTCCTTGTATTGCAATTTGGACATGATGGGAATTTACCATGCAGTAATCTAAAATAAAGTCCCACTAAAGTACAGAGGTGCCCTTCTCCAGCTGCTCAAGAGGAAGTTAATAGATGCCCCAAGCACAGTAAAGAGGCTTGGAGGAGTCCCTGCAGTCCTGGGCCCAGATGGCTTCTGCTACTCCTCTCTCTCTTAGATGCTAATGGTACACATCATCTAACATCAGTTTCTTTTATAGATCTTGGACGACTTTAACGAAATAAGAGAACAGATGTTAAATACATATTCTTACCTCGATCAAGAATTTCAATCCCTTCTCCTTTCATCTTGCAAACCAATTTTTCTTGTAGTCTTTTTACTTCAGATTCCTTCTCTTCCAGCTGTTCTTTTAGAGATGCTAGTTCCTCCTACAAATGATAAATTCATTTAAAAAGAGCAGATTATGACTAAAAGGGAATATTCAGAGAGTCTGTTAACTCTTAAGTCAATAATTAGTTTTTGTGAATGAAACAAAAAGCTACAAGAATTTAGACGCAAACTTCAGAGATCAGACAGTGGCAATGATAAGCAGGAAGCAAGACAATTAATAAAAGTACAACTTATAATAATTATGGTATAATTATTTCAAGTTTCCTTGTGACCAAATTAAAAATAAATCTTTTAAAGTGTGATTAGGACTAGGGCAGCCCTAAGGTTTAAATCTTATGTTAGGTAAAAAATCTGACCAAGTTAATCAAGGAAGATAATCAAAGTAGATGCTTAGTGTCATACAAGCAAAACAAAATGCAAATTGGAAAATAATATATTAGACTTGCTTGACGTTTATTCAGCATTTCAAGATGGCACTCATGTTCCCTGGACAAGACAGAGCTTAATTAGTGGGTAAGGTAGCACGCAATGAACAACTTTAGCCAAATCATGGGATTAAATAATTCATCCTCATCACTAAGGTAAAAGAATAGAATCTCCTACAACAATGGAAAAAAAGAGATTTAGAAAACAGATTTTAAGTCTTTTTTTTTTTTTAAAACTACACAACTATTTAAGACCCCAAATCCAATGTGCTATCTATTTACTAATGTTTGTTTCCATTTCATTTGGGTAAAAAATTAGCTTTGACAAATTTAAGTTTTGCTGGCTGTATTTAACCCAGGAAATAAAGCTATGCAACGCTAATAAGTGCACCTTTATTTTTCTTAATATAGTTTCAGTCTCTAAAGATATGTACTATGTTTGGTATTATGAGAAGATGTAGCTCTCCAATGGAGCTAAGAAGTTGGCCCTATAGTTTTTGTTTATGGTAGGAATGGACACCAAATACAAGGAATTTTCAGTAGCACTGGCAAGAAGTGCTCCCTGTTCTCACTGCTTCTAAGCAGTAACTTCTACTCACTGCCATGGCAGAGTTAACCGACGCACACATATATCGCCAAGAAGGAAGAAAACAGTGTCTACTATTGATATCAGAATTCTTTCACAGGTGAACTGCTGCAATTATTTTACCATGCTTGAATCTCAGATAGTCCAAGAGAGTGAGATTTAATTTATAAACGAATACTTTTATTTTACCTGCTTATTGTTTTTCACTATTTCATATGTTTGTGAAAACAAAATTAGGGACCGTATTGTCCCTCTAATCAGCTTTAAACATATTTTTAAAGAACAGGTGACACACACACAAAATGAATGCACACACCACTAAAAACACCATCACAGCAAAACAACACAAGCCAGAAAGCAACAGGCCATGGACCCCATTACCCAAGGTCTACTACACCTTCAGGGACTCCCACTTTTGTTCCATCCGCTGCTTTTCATACTGCATCTGACCCACCTTGATTTTCATGCTAGAAAGTTTGGCCATTAAAGACTGGTAGAGAGACAGGAGGGAAAGAAAACTACAGATAGAAAAAGACAAGCTAAGTAACCAAGAAAACAGTATCAGTTTATAAAGGAGGTTAGATAATTAAGAGAAATGACAGGTTACGTTCTATCAGGTTAGTTAAACCCTGATTCTTATTCAGAACAGTAGTGTTTAAATTCAAGATGGTCTCCAGCTTAGGGAAAAACTTCATTCCCTTGTAAAATGCCTTCTCTATCATATACTAAGTAGAAAATGTATTTCATTTATATTATTGATTATAGATAGTGAGCCATTTATATAAAAATTTTTGCCATTGTGAGAACTTACTTTGGTAGATTTCAGCTTTCTTTCATTCTGAAGTCTTTCATTGTCCATTTCAGTGACTCTTAACCTCAAATCATTGATCTCCTGCATTAGCCCCTGTCCAAAAAGCAACAAGGAAATATATTAGGAAAGCAGTAACACACTTATCTACCAAAATAGCAGCTTGGAAATCTTCAGTCAATAGCTCCTGAGTTAAAGCTGGATGAATGAGAACAGACAAATGAAAATGAATGTGTCTCCTTGAGAATTAAAGCATCTTTCCATTGAAAACAGTGCCTCTGCCCTAAAATGATGGGATTGATTATGAAAATGAAAGGTGACTAAAATTTTAAGAAATGTAGCTGATCGCTTACTATCATTGAGCAAATATTTCTAGACTAAAAATCACTATATGAACTCTTATCTTTTAAAATAAACCAGAGAAATTTTCTTTAGTAAAGTCATTTACTTTTAGAGACTTTTCAGTGACATATGGATATTTATAAAAATACTTTAATAATTTCTTAATTTTTCTACAAAAAAATAGATTGTTTATCAGCCCAATCTTGGAGAATCAAATGAAATTTGAACACTTTAGACCAAGGATTCACAACTTGAGGGAAGATGAGGGCCTTATCATTTACAAATATATTCAGTATCATAATAATTTTATATTTGGGAAATGAAAAAGAAAGCAATACTAATGTTTTCATAATACAAATATAATCATACAACTTTTCTATTTTTATTTAAAAAAACTAATTTGTGGGCTTCCGTGGTGGCGCAGTGGTTGAGAGTCCGCCTGCCGATGCAGGGGACGCGGGTTCGTGCCCCGGTCCGGGAAGATCCCACATGCCGCGGAGCGGCTGGGCCCGTGAGCCATAGCCGCTGAGCCTGCGCGTCCGGAGCCTGTGCTCCACAACGGGAGAGACCACAACAGTGAGAGGCCCGCGTACCGCAAAACAAAACTAAACTAAACTAAACTGATTTGCTTATAAAATTTGTCTAAATATTCTGAGCAATAGTGACATATCTTTTTCCAGAGCCCAGAGAATAGGAAAAGGAAATTAGAATGTGAAACAATACCAACTCATCCAAAAGAAGGGCTCAAATACTCTGTGAAGACTTTTTTTTTAACCACAAGGCATGAAGACCCCACCAATGGTTAATGTGTTTTCCTTTCTTTTCAAGACATTTATTCCTGAGCCACAGATTCATAGACGGAAAAGAATTACACAAGAATGCTGTAAAAAACAAATAGAATAATGCAATAGGAAATAAAACTTTTTTACTGAGGGATTATTCTAAACTTCTAAGTGTAAGAATTCAATCTCACAGGGGCTAGAAAAAAGGATGCTGTTGTGAAATACACTTCTCAGAAAACCTACAAGCTTTTAAGTTGTAGTTTCTTGTAAAAGGGGGAAAAGTACTACCTAGTAATATATAATAATTACTTATTAATATCAATTATAATTACTACTAATACAATGTTTCAATAAGAGGATGTCTATTTTCTCCTTTTATGAATGAGGTAAATAACTGTATGACATCATTTAATAACATTTTAGTTGTGAGTCCTTCTGTACAAGTTCAGAATTCAAGTTCAAGGAAAAAGTCAGTTTCTCCCATTTATTAACCATCTTTGCATAATATCAATTCTTAGTAGCCTTCCTTAATCAATCTGGCCTTTCTTATATATATTTTCCCACTTTCTTATTGGTAAAAAACAGCTTTGAATTCTATTGGATTGTTGTATTTTACCACTTCCTTTAGAAACAGTGGCAACTTGTAAAGAAGAAGAAACAAATGAAGAAAACAGAATTATAAACTGAGGTCATTTTTCTACTAAAAGAAACCTACCCAATCATCCTTTGTGGCAACACTATAAATATGAACATAAATTTCTAATCTGAGAGAAGCCCTACCTTCCCATGAAAAGTCAAGCTGGAAAATCTGGAAGCAGCTCCTTAACATGAAACTTTTAAAAATGTAATACAAATTATTTCCAACTAACTTCTTATCAGAAGTTCAGTACTGTTTTAAAAAGAAAATCCCTGTTATCTTCTCCTTTTCAGAAAACTCTTCAGGGCTCCACAGAAACTCATTTCTGATATCTGTATTCTTACCACAAGAGGGCACCACTGAACGATGCCAAACATCTATCAGCAATTCCTGGGACAGGCAAGCCCTCAATCTTCCAAAGTTTCAACACTCTTACCCCCAGTCTTTTGGAAGTATCTATACTTCTTCCCCTACTCCAATGTTTTCTTAGAAATTAATCTCCAAATAATCTAAAATTCTAAGACAATGAGCATTCTATGCTCATTCTAAGAAAATGAGCATCTTCAATTTTAATTTTTTTAGTTTTAGTTTTGAAGCCTACTTTATTTTCATGTTTAACAAAGTTTGTCATATATCCCATAATCTCTGAGTAGGTGCATGCTACATTTTAACAATAGTGTTGAATGTTTATTAGAAAATTATCAGGGATTACTACAAGTTTGATAACAAGATCACCTTGCATATGATTGAGAGAATGCACGAGCAAAGCAAGGAAACACCGAAAAAAGGATTTATAAAAAATGCAGACAAACTCAAGAGGTGTAGATACTGCTCTGGGGTCTTACAAAAAAACAAAAAGGTCCTCAAACAGCTATTTCAATTTAGTCCCAATAGTTGTTAAAATCTCATATCCAAATTAACCACAGTTGTGCCGGTTAAGACTTACCCTAAACTTTGTGGGTATAATAAGGCCACCTCTTAATGCCCCAAGACTATAAACTTCTTTCCTGACACCAGAGTTAGCTCCACTGCCATGTTATCCATCTGTTGACTAAATTCTACCAATGTGTTCTGTAGCAGCTGTGGAGTCAGGGAAAGACAGAAGGGAAAAGAGGAAATATCCAAACGGATTTTTAAAGAAAGCACAAAAGCTAGAATTTTAATGCAAGTAGGTAACTTCCTAAGTTTTGTTTTAAAAGCCCCGGTCTCAATTAAATGAAAAACATACTTATATAGGTGACTGACAAAGAGCTTTAAGATTAAAACATGAGCTAAGTTGGGGATTTCCTTTTGCTACTACTGAGCAAGTAATACATATACCAAGACTTTCTATTATAGTTACATCTTCGACAGAAAATTTAATTTTAAAAATAGCAGTGGAGTAAACCTTATTAAATTCAGCTCTAGGAAGGACTTTCACACAGTGGATAACATATATCATATCGTGATGGCATGTAGTGAGCATAAGACATATATTTGAAATGAAGATAGAGGGGGAAAGTAAGTCAATGATTTCTCCTCTCTCCTTCTCGGTACCCATTTTTCTAATTCAGTATGACACCGCTCCATACCCCAACTGAGGAAACAAAATAAAGAGAAAGGAAGAGATGGCCCTAGGAGAGAAAAAATTTCTACAGTTCTTTATACTTATTTTCAAATGAATAGCTTTCATTTGGATATGCTCTGAACTCCCCCTTGACAAAAAAGCAATGAACAAATTAGAAAACCTGGATTAACAATAAACTAGGTCAAACAAACAAGAAAGCATGTTTAGCCAGGAAAATGGGTATTTCATGTTGTAGAATCTACCCTGAATTTCACAAAAGTATACTGAGCTGTATTTATTTGGAATGATTTACATGTGGATTAGACCAAAAGTAGAGGGCCAAATTAAATGACCTCTAAAAATTTGCGATTTTTATGATTACATAATGAAAGCATGTTTGCTATACACATTTAAAAATCTACTTATTATAGAGTAAGTAATCAGTGTGCTTAAATAAGAACTACTAGTAAAATCACGCACTTGAACCCATTATTTCCACAATGAAGAGAATCAGTATGGATGAACAGATGGACAGATGGATGCATGGATGGCTAGATAGACAGAAGCTCCAAATGTCCGAAAGTCAAAGTATTTCCAAAGGCAAGTGAAAGGATTAATATTTCATATCAAAAGTCTCAAAATAGGGCTTCCCTGGTGGCGCAGTGGTGTGGGATATATGAGTATGCATATATATGTGCATACATACGTATATGTATATAAAGAGAGAGGAAGGGTATCACTTACTTCTGTGTCTCTGAATCTGTCTTCGTAATCCAATCTGTCCTTCTCTACAGCTGTCAGTTTTAACGTCAAGTTAGATATTTCAGCCATCAGGTCCAACTTCTGAGTTTCTAAGGATGTCCTGCTCAGAAGCTCCTATCAGAATTTAAGAGATACATCCAAAAGTTGTTTTATTGTAAACAGCCACATATGGATGTGTCTCACTTATGACTGCAAAGCAGTAACTCTTAAGTAGAGGATGTGAAGATTAATTACTAAATAGATACATTTGGAAAAAATTATTTGCTTTAGTTACCCTTCAAAGAGCCGAACTAATGCTCGATAAGCATTATATTGATACGCACATATATAAACGCATATATTCTTAAGCCTGATGATAACACTGATGATGCTATTATGTTTGCTATGTGCCAGGCGCTGTTCTTACAGGTATTCAGTGGTTCAGTCCTCAAAACAACCTTATGAGATAGAAACTCATAGGATAATTCATGAATTATTCTTATTCAACAGATGAGGAAGCTAAGGAACAGAGAGGTTAAGAACTTGCAGAAAGTCATACAGCAAGGAAATGGCAAAGCAGAGACTCAACCTTAACAGTCTCGCTCCAGTGTGTATTCTACCTGCTGTATTATAGGCCCTCTCATAGATGAGCACCATATGTGTCTGCACCCACATACATTATAAAATTTTTCCAATAAGTCATATAAGGTACTTATCTTTTTTCTTAATCATAAAATATACATTCATGGTTGGAAATTAGGAAACCATATGAAAGCATAAAGGAGACATTTAAAATTATCTACAATCCTATTAACATTTTATTGCAGACTCTAATTGCAGTGAACACTTTCTACTGTGTGTATGGGTTTAGAGACCTGCTCCTCTAGGTTTTTTGCTTAAAATAAGCCAGGAGACTTCCCTGGTGGTCCAGTGGTTAAGACTCCACGCTTCCACTGTAGGGGGCGTGGGTTTGATCCCTGGTCGGGGAACTAAGATCCCACATGCCGAGCGGCGCAGCCAAAAAGAAAAAAGGTAAAATAAACCAGGCTAAGTGAATCACGAAATTCACGACTGCATCAGAGCAAACACAACTTATAAATGTAGCATCTCAAATAGGCCAGCAGAAAAACCCCACCTCAGTACCGGCTTCTGAACATACCTGTTGCAGCATTTCTTCTGTGGCATTCAACTTCTCTCTGTGCTCTTCAAGGCAAAACTCCAAATCGCGAATCTTTTCTCCCTGAGCCTCTACCTGGTCTGTTAACACACTTACCTGTATTTGGAGCAAAATATTGTAATGGATTAGGAAGAATTTGGGTCCCACTGCCAACTTTATTTCTCTACATAGAACAAAAACTGGGATGATGTTACCCCTCATTTGGCTGTAAAAAAAAAGAAATCTGAGAACTGATAAGAAACCAGACCTTCACACTCTTATTTATGTGATGCTTATTGGTCTGAGGACCCCTATTCAATTTTCAAGGAAGTTAGGGCTGATTGGGGATGTGCAACACTTTATAGAGAAAGAGCATATACAGAAATTATCTTTTTTGAGGGATGGTGGGGGTAGGAGGTGGTATTAGAGATTAAGAGAGGAAATGAAGTTAATGTTTGAAAGAGAAGTTATCAAGGACTATTTAAATCTGACGCTTGACAAACAGAGAGTCCAGGGAATCCAAACTCCATGAGATCTTTCATGATCACACTATCCATGAATGTGTTCGAAAGCCAGGGTGTAGCTCAGAGGTGCAAGAGGAGCCACTGGCTTAGTCCTTCATCCTCAGTGCTTATTGCAAACCTGAGTTTTCCTCCCAACGATCACCAGCCTCGTAAATATGCTTCAGTTCTTTTAGCTCAACATACCAAAGTAAAACTACGTGCCAAGGATTTAAAGGATTATGAAGGAGAGGAAAACTCTGATTTCGCCTACAAACAGGACTCCACTACCCACTTTGTGTTTTGTTTGGTCCATGGCATCATTTTTAAAATTGAAAAATTATATATTCAGATTCAGAAATACTTATTCATATTTATGGAACAGATGTATGAATATATAGACACACATAGATAGTATAAAATTCAGAATTTCTGCTATATATTAAAAAAGAAACAGATCACATCAGAAAATCAGATGACACTGTGCCTGTCATCAGACTGGCCCTTGAAGAGCAGAGGCTGAGAAGTGTTGTTCACATGTATGCTTGTTCTGCCACAGTCCTCACTGCTCCTGAACGTGTACAGATGGCCTACTGCGCTTACTTCTATTAGCAGTCTGGCTCCTGCGAGCATCTGAACTTGCCATCCCAATTTAAAATGGTCTTTGTAAGTTAAGTCATGAGGGAAAAACAGCATTTACAAATCACTTGCCTGAAGAACGAGAGATTCTTTATCATTTTCTAAACGTGCCAGCCTTTCTTGATACACATCTCCATTCCCAGGGAGGTGTCCATTTGTCTGAAAAAGGAAGTGATATGGGTAAGCCTGACCCTCTTTAAAACTGAACTACTCTGAGGGACTTCCCTGGTGGCGCAGTGGCTAAGACTCACGCTCCCAATGCCAGGGGCCCGGGTTCAATCCCTGGCCAGGGAACTAGATCCCACATGCATGCTGCAACTAAGAGTTCACGTGCCACAACTAAGGAGCCGGCTAGCCGCAACAAAGGAGCCTGCCTGCCTCAACTAAAGACCTGGCGCTACCAAAAAAAAAAAGAAGAGTAAAAATTGAACTACTGTGGGTAAATAAAAATTGCATATGTTTTTAATCCAAGGAAACTGAATTGAATTCAGCGCAGCTTTACTGCCCTTAATAGAAAACATGAGAAGGAAACATGGTTCATATATAAAGCAACAACAAGAACAAAAAACAACTCATCAAGAAGAAAATAATGACCCAAAAGGAACAGTGGCTACTGATAGTCACTGACAGTGGATGCCCACCTCGGCACGCAAAGCTTTGTGAGCGTGTGGTCGGGCACAAAATCGCTCTTTCCCCCTGAATGCCTCTATCAGCGGGAATGACCTGGGAGGTCCTTCCATTCCTGCCCTCTCCTCTCAAAGTCCCAAATCCAGGACTACCAATGCCGGCCTTTACACGGGAGACAGCAGGGGCAACTTACACCACCGGCCTCTTCCTGCTACTCAAGTCTTCAAATCACAGGACAAGTCTTCCCTTCCTCTTTTTTTTTTTTTTTTTTTGTGCGGTACGGGGGCCTCGCTGTTGTGGCCTCTCCCGCTGCAGAGCACAGGCTCCAGACGCACAGGCTCAGTGGCCATGGCTCACGGGCCCAGCTGCTCCGCGGCATGTGGGATCTTCCTGGACCGGGGCACGAACCCGTGTTCCCTGCATTGGCAGGCGGACTCTCAACCACTGCACCACCAGGGAAGTCCTTCCCTTCCCCTTTGAAGCCTTTCTCTTTTCCCCCAAGAGCTTAAGCACTGAGTCCACAATGACCTCCCCTTGCAGCACAGACTAGCCATGCTCATCGGTGATTTACCACATTCCGTTCTGAATTCATTAATTTCTCGTGGGTTTGCTTGTTCACCTACTGTTACTCTAAGCTTCCAGGCAGAGCCTGCAAATTGGTATCATCTTGTAACCTCCACAGCATCCAGCCCAGTGCTCTACTTAGACTAGTGCTTACTCTTTTTTCTCCTCCCTTCTGCCCCCTTTTTATCAGATTTGGGATATTTATGGATGGCACAAATGTCAAAGGAAGTACAGACTGGGAAAGGAAGTGTAGATTTTTTTCCTCAGCCGTCTTGTATTGCAATATATACAAGTGATTAAGGAGACAGACTGAAAAGGCTCACAGAGTGCAGACAACATAAAAATGTCATTTTGAAATAGAGTAGTATATGTGCTGTGTCTCGGTATCTCATTTAAATAGTTCCTAATCACATAATGTGTAATCCCAATAGAATTTCCTGATTCCTCATTCAAATACAACAGAAATAAAAGCCAGTGGAGTCCAAAATGGTTAGATGTGGCCGCCCAGAGTTCAACTGAAAAAGCAAATAAACAACCTCAGACTTCAAGAAAATACACACTGTACATGCTTACTGCCCAGAACACGACTGATGTGACAGCAATTATTTTTCCAGAATTAAGTGCTTTTATCATTCTGCCTTTCCAATTAACACATTTTTTAAGTATAAATTCTGAGAATAACAAAACTTATGTGTTGGGAAGGAAACAAAAACAAACACAAATGGAGCTTCAACAAAAAAGAAAATCGCAGGATGTTTCTTCTCAAAACATCAGTGCACTGGATGTATTTCCCATGAGGCCACAAGAGAATCTGAAACTAATTCAGTAAGCATGCACTGTGTGGATAAAATTTTTCACATCACCTGCTTGACCACACATACCTGCACAATTATCACAGCATAATTCTATTTATGTTATAAACTGAAGTGCCCAGAATTAAATTACAAGTATTAGGAGGAGTCTGACGGAGTGGCCGGGATGACTTCCATCCCTGGGGACTACCAGGAAAATGAAATTTATGTTAACTTCTTGAGGACAGTTTTTTGGAAAAGAGCCAGGATGTGTAACGCATGTTCTCGATCTAAGAAAGTGCTGAGACTGGCTCTGTACAGTTTTAAATTCCTCATATTGATTATGAACATTAGCAGGCATCTGCTTTTAAAACTACATAAGCAGGGCTTCCCTGGTGGCACAGTGGTTGAGAGTCCACCTGCCGATGCAGGGGACACGGGTTCGTGCCCCAGTCCGGGAAGATCCCACATGCCGCAGAGCGGCTGGGCCCGTGAGCCATGACCGCTGAGCCTGCGCGTCCGGAGCCTGTGCTCCGCAACGGGAGAGGCCACAACAGTGAGAGGCCCGCGTACCACAAAAAAAAAACAAACAAAAAAACAACTACATAATCAATGTTTTATAAACATCCATTTCATTGGGTAGAAAAAAAAGCTTTCTGCTCAGTGAAGACATAAAACAAAAATCCTCTTTCTCCTGACTAAAGGAAATTAGAGCAAGGTTAGAAGTGTTTCTAGGCCAAGTTCTAGAAGTGTTTCATGAAACCACTGCCTATGATATGGAAATAAGTTGTTTCAACACCAGTTCTACAAAATTATCCATTTAAAAATACTAAAAATTGACCACAATGAGCATACTCACGTTTCTTAACACTGTACTGATATTTACAAGCACTCATAACACTCATAACACTAAAATCACTATAGGTACATAAAGCAAAAGAGCCACTACTGGAATGGTTACATGCTTTCAAAGCACTGTGTTGACTTACTCAAGCAGGTAAAGGTCTATTCTATTCACGTTTATTTCTGTTTCTGCTAATTTTGTTACCTTTGCCTAAAAAATGCTAGCAAGAGGTAAATTCCATTAGGCAAATACCCTACCGTCCCTATTCTTCCTCCGTCTCCTGTGCTCTACCCCCCAGACCACCCCAAGCCTCCCCAAACCTGGCATGCTCTCTCACACACCAATTCTATTCCCTCTGCATGGACTGTATTTCCTACCCTTTCCTCCTTGTTCCTCATTCCTTAAGGTCCACCTCAAATGGGGCTTGGTCTGGAAAGTCTTCCTTGAATTGCCTGTTCACTTATATGCCAGTTACAGCATCCAGATGACCCTTCACTACAGCAGGCATCACACTGAAAGGACTAGGCTAGACTTGGCTACCTATGTGTCTCTCTCTTCCAACAGACTCTGCATTCTTTGTTCGTTCCTCTTTCCATCTGATGCTCAGTGAAGGACTGCAGCTAACTGACTGCTGAATGAAGGAACAATGATAGTGTTCAATAAACATCAGAAGAATAAAAGGTGAATGAATGATTGGTTCTATCCTGGCCTTCTTTCTTCTCAGTAAGGCTTTTTTTTTTTTTTTTGCGGTACGCGGGCCTCTCACTGTTGTAGCCTCTCCCGTTGCGGAGCACAGGCTCCGGACGCGCAGGCTCAGCGGCCATGGCTCAGGGGCCCAGCCGCTCCGCGGCACGTGAGATCTTTCCGGACCGGGGCACGAACCCGCGTCCCCTGCATCTGCAGGCGGACTCTCAACCACTGCGCCACCAGGGAAGCCCCTCAGAGACTTTTTAATGGACAGTAATTGAGGTCCTGTTGCATGAACTCCCTCATAAACTTCCTTCTTCAACGCACAACATTACGTACTGCCTCCTACGTCTTCCCTGTCTTCCTTCCTGCGAGTCTCAGGGGAACTGAGCCTTAACTTCTTCCTAAAAGCTTACCATTCCTCTACTTTGGAACCTTGATTTCCTGTTTCCCTGAGAACCGACCTACAATTATTGCCTTTTTCCTCCTCACCATCAATTTCTTCCTCTCAATGAACTTTCATCCATTCTCCTTTCCAACATCTACTCCAGGACTCTGTGCCCACCCCTGTACGCCCTCCCACTCCTCTCTGCCTGTATCTTTCACAGAAATCCATCTTTCATAGCCAGTCCCCACCTCCTCCTTATACTGTGCCATTCTCTCCTCTACTGACTCCTCTTCTGCGTCTTGTCTTGAACTTCACAATTAACTTTTCATCATATTCCACCAGGGAGGGCTTACTAGTGATTTTACACAAGTTGGTCACTTATTCTTCCCAACAGTACCTCAGTACGAAACTCTCTTACATTTCTTTTGACTCTCCCATGATGCTTACCAAACCCTAAGCTCATAATTAAAAACATATTTGGTATAAACTCTTGTTGAGTCAATTTAACATCCAAAACACTGAACACCAGCCCAAATTACTTTACTCAAAATCCCAGAGATGCCTTCAGAATAACTCTTTCTAGTTCAACTCATGAGGCAACCCTACATTGACCATGTTCAGTCCAGCTGAAAGTTTAAGTCAAAATTGGAATCAACTGGAGGATTTCAACAACGTAATCGTCAACTAATGGTGTGTAGAAGGGTGGGACTGTAGCACACCAGGGAGGGCAGGGCAGGAGATGCAGCTGGGCTGTAACAGTGATACTTTAATTAAGGAACCCATGGTGTATGCCAGATTTTCCTGGCATAATGGAGGAAAAATGTCTACAAAGCTTGATTCCTCATAGAATTATAGAATCCTAGGGCTAGCCAGAAACCACACCCGAGAACGTGAACTGCCTGAACTCATGTGGCAGGTGCTACACATAATATCAAGCACCATCTACTTTAGCCTTTGCCATCTTTTCATATTAACTTCCCCTTAATCATCAAATATAAATACACAATCAAGTAAAAAGATGTAATAAATGTTAACATCTTGCCTTATGTGGGTCTCTTTTTGAAAATGTTTTTTTACAGAAATTTTCAAATATATATAAAAGTAAAGACTATAATGATGAAACCCTTTGTACTCATCACCCAGTTTCAATAGTTATTAATTCATGGTAGGTGGGAGTCTTCTGTCTGTTAATTTTGCTGAAAGTATCATGCTGTGTTTTCCTCTGATTTTCTTAGTTCTGTTGGTTTGCATTAGCCTA